TGAGAGCTGAAGAAATAAAGGCTCCTCAGAAGATGTGAGATGTTCTGGAGGCTTGTGAAGATCATTCCTCCGCTGAGGAACAGTGAAAGTAAAGCTTCTGGAAACAAACGCTCCTCAAAAGATCCTGAGGATCAGATTTGAGACTCTAAAACATGAATGATGGAGAATCAAGTAAAGCTGAGCTGCTTCAATCCAGTAAGTGTTCATCTGGAGATATTACTGCAGTTATTCTGACCTTAACTTGATCAAAATCAGTCAAGATTTGACACGTGAAGCTGCAGCTGAAGCTGGACGTTTCTACAATTACACTAAAAGAGCTTTGACTGGATAAAAAAACTCTAAAATATCAATCAGACGACAGAAGCATGGAGGAGATTGAGTGTGAAACAGGTTTATCAGCAAAGTTTTGATTGTTTATCATTTAGAGGCCTTTGTGTATCAAATATGACACAGTAGGCTTTATAGGGTTAATGCACAGCTTTCATAATCCAGGTTATAGAGCTTCTTCCAAAATGCTTGTAATCGTTTTGAATGACTTTGAAGTGTATTTTGGTGGTTTCTCTGCTCAGTTGTGTGTTGTGTGACGTGTCGTCCTCTCTGTTCAGGGGTCAGGTGCCTGCCGAGGCCGAAAACAATTACTTAGCAATTGCCAAAACACTGGAAATGTATGGCGTGGATCTGCACCCTGTGTTTGTGAGTTCAGCCCTTTTACATCAACAGAGCTCTTTTTACTCTGTTTGATTGGATGCAATATCAATATTTGTCTTTTCTGTTAATGATTTAATTCTTTGCATTTCTTCTCTGTCCTATCTTGATTCCTAATCCAGCTTTCCAATAATCCTGGCAGTGTACTCTCTGAATATTGTCGGCTCTGATGAATCGCTTGTGTTTGTTTTCATAAGTCGCTTAATGCATAAATGTGTGTTTTCAGGGAGAAAAGCAGTCTGAGTACTTCCTGGGCCTGACGCCTGTCGGGGTCGTGGTTTACAAAAATAAAACGCAAGTGGGGAAATATTTCTGGTAGGTTGATGTTTAAACTGAATTTTTCACGTATTAAAGGAATAATTCCCCTAAAATGAAAGCTCTGTCAGTATTTACTCGCCCGCATTTCATTCAAAACCCTCATTAATGGTGTTTCAGGATGTTTTTGAATTTTTAGAACAAATACTTTAAATATGATATGATATACGCTATGATATGATACTTTAAAAGATTCTTTAAAAGAACAAATCCTTTAATGAGATATGAAATGAGATATACTGTATGATATTAAATGAGATGTATGATATGAGCTAATATACATTTCTCATATCATTATATATATGATATATGGTATAATATGATATATGATGAGATATATCATATCATATCATATATGATGTGATATTATGGCAAGCCGTTTTGACTTTTATTAATTCACAGGATATTAATTCTACACAGGATATTAATTTTACTAGTAACAGTGGCTATTTTTTATATCAGGAATTACATTTCCACTAGTATAAAAGTTAATTCTTAATATCAAAAATGACGTCATCTCTCGCATAAATCGAATTCTTGATAACAGGAATGTGTTTTTTTAGTGAGAGGCTTAATAACAGATTTTGGGACATTTCCTAATGATATTGACAAATTAATAATATTCAGAAGAGGATCTATGACTTCTGGAAGCACCTCTTTTAGGAGCTTAGATAGAATAGGGTCTAACATACATGTTGTAGGTTTTGATGATTTGACAGGTTTATACAATTCTTCCTGTCCTATAGTAGGGAATGAGTGGAAATGTTCCTCAGGGGATCTATAGCGCACTATCTGATGTGATACTGTAGCTGACGGCTGCATGGTTATTATTTTAGCTCTAATAGTATCGATCTTGGAAGTAAAGTAGTTCATAAAGTCATTACTGCTGTGCTGTTGGGGAATGTCTGCATCTGTTGATGATTTATTTTTCGTTAATTTAGCCACTGTATTGAAAAAAAATGCCAGGGGTTGTGCTTGTTCTCTTCTAAAAGAGTCGAAAAGTAAGCAGATCTAGCAGTTTTTAGAGCTTTTCTATATAAGTAGAAGTACTTTCCTTCCATGCAATACGAAATACCTCTAGTTTTGTTTTTTCTTTTTTTTTCTTTTTATCTAGGTGAAAGAATCTCTATGTCCTGAGAATTAACTGACTTGTTGATGATATGAGATATATGATATGGTATGAGATGAGTTTTATGATATGCTATGATATCATATATGATATGACATGAAATATGATATGCAATGATGATAGGAGATATCTGATATGATATTTTATGATATATGATATATCTCATATCATTATTATATCATACCATATATCATATCATATATGATATACAGTATATGGTATGATATGATATGAGGTATATGATATATAGTATGACATGATACAAGATATATGGTATGATTCTTTAAAAGAACAAGATATGATATATGATACTATTTGATCTTATATGATATAGTATTACTTTAAAAAATTATTTTATATTAAAATTGTAAAACTTTGACACCCTGTTTTGATTTGTTTTTACATGCATTTTTAAATAATTAACTTTTAATATTAATTTTTCAGGCCAAGAATGACAAAAGTGCATTTCAAGGAAACCCAGTTTGAGCTGCGGGTTATAGGCAGAGATGTAAGTCTTGTTTTTAATACAACATCACAATAAATGAACTGTGTGTCATCTCTCGATACCATATATCCCTTTAATTTACATGCAACCATTGCCTAGCTGTAATGTTAATTTCGGCTGTACAGCATGAAGATATTAAGATATCATAAACATTAACATCGTGATTTTGTGTGCAGCTGCTTTGAAACGATATGCATTGTGAAAAGCGCTATATAAATATATTTGACTTAACTTGATTTTTGACTGTATTCAACAAGACTTTTTCCCATTCGAAGCAAGTAACAAAATTCATGTATAAAACTGCTTTACTTTATTGTAACTGCTTCCATAACATCACGAGCTCTGTGTGGAAAATCCTTTTTGAGGAGTCAGTGGAAAGTCCATTATTGATGGAGGTTTATGACTGGCCTTAAGCCTCTTGACTCTTGAGTCTATAACCCGTTTCCTCCAGGGCCCAATTTAAGCTGCAGTGAAGTGTCTTCTCGTTCTAGGACTCTGACCCTCTTCATCTGCCCTAGTGAGATCAGACTAATGAGAGCACATGCGGGTTATGAGGGCCACCACCGGTGATGAACATTTAACATGAAGTTTATACACATATCAATTTAAACACGGCATCCTTGTGTGTTTTCAGTGTAATGAGACGTCGTTCTTCTTCGACGCTCCCAGTAAGACGGCCTGCAAGAACCTGTGGAAGTGCTGCGTGGAGCATCACACCTTCTTCAGGTACAGCAACAGAGATTTTCTGCTCTACTTAAAGAACAATAAAATAGTAAATCAGATGGCGGGAATTTAAATATTATTCAATTTCATGGGTACTGAATAATGCATGTCCAAAAAACATGGTAACATCATGCTATAACATTTATTTACGATATTGTTTGTGCTGTCAAAATTAGCGCTTTAATGCAAGTAAATAATTTTTCAAGTTTAACGTGTTCAAAATATCTAACGCAATTAACGCAGGGCTGAAGCTAGGGTTGGTATTTTATAGAGAAATCAGCATTGGTATCATTGATACTGGCCTTCAGTCATAAAAAAAGATGTCA